AACAGTCCAGCTAATGACTTGAGTGCACTAGTAATCAATCGAAGCACTATCAGATGAAAACACTCTCCTGTTTTCCAGTGAACAGTGTCTGTAAATTCATTAGTGAATTTAGTGCTTAGGAGCATCTGTAGGTGTTTTGATTAGCCTTAAAAAACAAATCTTACAGTAAATCCTGCCCCCGTCTTTGTCCCTGGTACCTGTTAGAGCAGGGGTGTCAAACATACGGCCTACTAGGGGCTTCAATCCGGCCCACATGATGAATTTTAAAGTAAAATAAATGGATAAACTCTATATGTTCGTTATGTTTTCTCAAATTAAAATAACACTAAATGTGAATCTTCTGTAATATACGTGCTCCTATTTGCATTTAAACACTGACTTACTGCTATTTATAGGTAATTATGTTATGATTTACTGGTCCGGCCCACTTGACATTTAATCAGGCCGTATGTGGTTGGAGTATTTGTCTTTTTAAACTTTTACATAAGTTTTCTAAATAATACTTTAACCCGACAAGGGTTCAAATCTCATTCAAAATCCTATCTTTAAATAAGCTATCAAAAATCCACTCACTAGAAATAATTAAAGCAGAAGAAAATGTAGAACCGTTGGAGAGGAGAATTCTGTGATTACACTTTTTTACTAACAAAAAGGATAAAATTACAACTGCAAATTATATTCTGTTCGACACTCAATTTGCATTGCAATTTTAACAGAATAATCCACACAAAGCTGGACTGAAGTGGACCAACGGTTGCAGCTCAACCTTCCTTTGCATATTTATTTTGTCTTTCAAAAGAAAAGACTTAAGGAGAAAAATGACATCCAACTCCTCCACAGTCTCTTCCTCTGCTCCGCTCATGGCCTTTTTTTTCTCCTTCAAAACCTCAGACCAGCTCCATCTAGCAATTAACTGCCTGCCGTGGACTCTGGTGACATTGTGTGTGGATATTTCTGTCGCGTTTATTATGCGTTTGCTGACCAGACTGTGAGTCATGTGGACACAAGCAAATCTAACCCTGTGTTAGCAGCAGCCAAGGGAGGTTCCATGCTTTGACTTTTATCCCCTTGCCTTCTGCCTTTTTCTCGTTCTCACGTTCTTACTTTTCACTTTTGCTTTTCTGAACCGACGGGCAGGATTTTTGGGAGCTGTTCTTTTTTTTTTTTTTTTTTTTGCAGTCCCAAAGTAAGCTGCAGGAAAGCTGCAAGGATTCAACAGTGAGCTCAGCTATAGGATGAAAAGAAACACCTTCACCCCACTTCTGACAACTCTGACAACTCTTTATATCTGACTCATTATTTCTGCCAGTATTGATACTTCGTCTTCTCCCACACTACCTCCCTGCTCTCTCCCTGAAGCTGAAATTACACACAGCTCCCCAATGACCCCGCCCCCAACGTCCAAATGCTCTAAACATTTGTTCCACTGGAAACGGTCTGCAGATGTGGTGACCTGATGGAGTGAAGGTGGACAAGGAAAAAAATTTTAAAAAATGAGGATGGTGTTGAAGACGGTGGAATTAAATGAGAAAGAAAAAAAAGGGATGGGATGAAAAAGGGTGGTCCACAAAGAAAGACAGGCAGACTGAGACACAGACAGACAGGCGGACATCAGAAAACTTGGCTGGAGTGTTGTATAATTTTACCTCCCTTTTACTAGCCGTTCCCCAGCTCCTTCCTTCCTGGGAGCCGCACAGGCAGCTGGGTAAATAGTGTCCATAGCCCCAGCACGCTGATATGCGCTCAGGCCTGTCAGGGCTAACAGGAGACTTGGTTCAACACTCAGCTTTCCATATCGTTTGCACTGGTAGAAATCAATATTTAGTGGCTTGGAGTTTTGAGAGAACAGTAAAATGATGACTGATGTCACAATACAGTGATGTGAGAAAGTAGGCGATTCTGAAATCATCCTAGAAAAGGTTGTATTAAATAAGGTGAAATCCACTTTCTTTTTTCCACCGTTTTGCAGGAGAAAGAAAGGTTCTTGGCCAGTGTCCAGAGGAGAGAAGAGAAAAAGTGAAAGCTGTAATTAGGGAATAACGGCCTACCTTGAATATCTGAGTGTGTGTAAATGCATGATTTGCGTGCATTTTTATCAAACGCCTCCCTTTTTGTCTGAGTGTCATAGAGAGTAGTTTGACTTAACTTTTTACCAACTTCCTGTTCTCTAGCTTTAAAAAAAATGTCTGTCTTATCTCATTCGTCGTTCAAGTGGGTGAGTGTATGTGATGGGTGCAGCCTGGGGCGGGGGGGTTGGTGGGTGGGCTCTAAGGGAGCTGGCAGTTTTAACCACACTCTCATCGTTTGACTCCTCTACAGACAGCAGTCACTGTCTGTGTGAGGCCTGCTCCTCAGTGTGTAGCTAGTAGTTAGGAGTCTATAAACTGTAGTTTCTCCCTCCCTTCCTTTTTACTGACCGACCTACTGTCGGCCCATCTCGTTCCAGCTTCAGTGTGTGCTCTGCCTTCATACTTGGATTGGTCATTTTTACTCTATTTTAATATTCTTATACGTTGTTGTTATTTATGTTATTTTTCTAGTCTCATGCCTTATGTACACAAACCATCAGCTCACGTTCATTATTTTACATCAAGTTTTCTGAATTTCCATGTCAATGTACAGAAATCGACCCAACCTCATTTTCTCCACCCATAATCTATTTGCATAGAAATGAAACATGAGACACGTAGACAGCCAATCAGAATGCAGTGCATTTGAAATACTGCTGGCAACATGATGGTGGTCGGAGGAGAAGATAAAAAGATGTTGCATTGCAAATGGCTAAAGATTACCTTGAAACTTGTGTTCCTCAAACTAAAAATGATGATATCATTTCATATAGAGTAATACTGTAAAAGCAGATTACATTTCATTCCATTCTGTGAGCTGGGTTTTCAGCCAGAAAAAGGTCCAAGAGCCTGCAAAGGTTAACTATAAAATAATATATTTTTGCATATTATTAGCTACAAATCAAAAAGCCATACACTGATATATGCATCTAAAATATTGAACTGCATTTAAAGGGTTTTATTTAGACATTAATTTCTCCATTTTCACTTTCTTCCATCATGTGGCTAAGATAATTTAGTTTTTACCTCCAGAACTATTTTTCTTTCCATTAAGTTTCACTGCATGTCTGCATCCTTTGAGCTGCATTAGTGTCAGATAATGACTGTGGTATTGAACAGAATTAATTTTTCCAAGATTATTGTGATCACTTGCAGGGAGACTGTGAAAATACAGACAGATGACAGCATCACTGCAGATGAATACCACACTGTCTTTTTTTGTAATTTTTGGTTTGTTTCTATTTTTTAAAAATCTTGCTTTTACATATAAGTTTTATAATTTGCTCAAAACCAACAGTTCAGAGAACTGAAAATACTAATAATAAACTTGAGAAAGTTTTGTACTATTTTATACTTGTCCATACTTGTGACATATCAAGGACTTATTATCAAAGCAGCTCTACACGATTGTGAACTCTCACCGATGTTTCATTTTCAAAAGTGACTAAAACGAGAGAAGAAAGTCTGATGATGTGGAGCTTTGCAGCCATCTTTGATTTCCTGCGCCGCCTGTCTACTGTCTCCAGCTACTCCTCTGGGCTTCAGCTCCTCCGCTAACATGAGAATTTAACTCTGCAGCGAGTGGGAGTCATGCCATCTTTAAAACACGTTTCATCTCACTCGCTCCTCCTCCTCCTCCTTTTCCTTTTCTCTATTTCTTAGGTTTGACTCTGGGAGGAGATGAGTTGAAGCTGTTGGGGCAGTCTGACTTTTTTGAGTGGTGGGTTGGGGGTAATTTTGTGGATGGACCTGAATGCTTAGCTGTGGAGTTATTAAGGATACACAGAGACAGGAAGTAATGCACCGTCTTACTGGGGCTGAGGAGGTTAATTGGAGCTAATAAACACACTTTATTACACTAAGTCTTTCCATGTGTCTAAACACCCCCAACATGTATAGTTCTAGAAACTACTACAGAAGGTGAAATAGTAAATTGGTACATTTTCATACATATATTCTCATTTTAAAGTTTTCTTTTCCCTTTGAGAATGTCGGGAACATTCTTGGCCGACAGAATATTCACGGGGGAAAAAAACCTTTATATGGTGCAGATTTGAGAAATACTTTGATTAAATACTCATGGCAACAATAGAGTGTAGACTTTTACATTTTTAATACAACTGCACATCTGCAACATTGACCTGAGATGGTGTCGGGGCCATGCTGAGTGTTGCTGAAGGGTTGATGAGGGTAGATGACATGTCTGGTCATGTGGGCAGGTAGGGAGAGACAGAGAGGGAGGGGGGAGGGGGGGGGGAACTCAGCTCTGCTTCACACCTGTCTTTTGTGAGTCTGAATTTGCAGCACTCCAACTTGCACTGTATTTGAACCACTGCATTCCACCAACAGTTCCTTGTATACACTGATTGAAGGCAAGAGGCTTTCGACTGTGTTCAAGTTCTTTATGACTGACAAAGAATGAAAGTTAAACATTTTAATAAAAAAAAAAGTTAACATAAAAAATGTTGTTTTCATGTTGGCAGACATCTGACGTCTGGGAATGATTAGGGAATGCTTGGTGCGGGGGCAGTGAAACATGATGGATCTGCTTTGAAACATAAATCCCACGAATTGAATAAATGGAACAAAACCTCCGTGCGTAAAAGTCGCAGCCATTTGGACCATAAATATTTTTAAAAATCGATAACGATTTCCCACACGCCTCTACACTAACTCCCACTTTTTAAGTGTGTCACTTTTATAAAAATCCAACGCAAAAGACACGACGCAGGCTCTCCGGGTCCCAAATGGTCCCAGTCCACGCGTACCAAAACGCATTTTACGCACAAACTCTAACCACGAGTGCGCACGGTGTGGAAGCCGAGGCGCTCACGTCTGAGCTGCAGCCCGTCAGAGAGGGGGAAAAAACTTAGCCTTCCTCTGTCTTTTAAACCTCGACGCTGTCCACGTCCTCAAAAAGAATGGATCTAATTAAAACGTTGCACTCGTCATCATCGCCAAAGCTTTGCCAAACGCTCTCTGGTGGAGAGGAGGCTGGAAGATGCAGGGACACATGACTGACTGGGAGCTGCAGAGGGATGGGAGTCAGATTGGGTTTCTCCTCCCTGATTGGTCGGTGGGCTGACTTTTGACACGCAGACCAGGGACCCTCCTGCCGTATATATAGGCCTGATAGAACTTTATTATTCTAGCATCACGGCAGCAGGTTTCTGCTCAGTTTGGAGTTACTCGTGTCACCACAACTGTATGCCTGCTTAAGGTGGTTTAAAACAGGGGCTCAGCAGCACAAGGAGTCTGCATGTCTGTTTAGACATGCTCAGCTTTGTGGATACCCGGATTCTGTTGCTGCTTGCAGTAACTTCATACCTAGCAACATGTCAATGTAAGTGTGAATATCTGCTCTTTTCTTCTGTGATGGATATTCTTCTTTTTTAAATTTTTTTTCGGGTGCCCTTGCTTGAGGATCTTGCGCTTGGCTTTTGTTTGGGACTTACGTCATGGTCAACCTGAAGAACAGCTCAGAGCGCTGCAGAGTTAAACTGTCTGGATTGAGCTCTTTCAGAGGATTCTTCACTTGATTTTTATCTCTTTTTTTTTTTCAAAGGATTAAAGACAGATTAATTTATGATTTGATTAGTTTTCAAAAGGCAGAGGTTTCGCCCCTGATAGAAAAGTTGCGTTACTTTAGGGAAGCGTAACAAATAGTCTCTTTAGCGCATGTGAATGTATGAAAGTGGGTTTAATGGGTTTTTCTTTCGGACTAGTTGGAAAAGTTTGTGGGGCGTTGTACACATTGTTCCATCCTGACGTCCAGGGAAAGATGCTTCATGATAGAAAACTGCAATGGCTCCCCCTGGTGGCCAGGTTTAACCTAGCGTCACTGAATTTTTTAATTACCTCTTTGCAGAGACAAACTTTACGAGAAGTGTGGTAATGAAATTAAACCCATTTTTAAACAATTCAGCATTCATCTAATTAATTTAAACACACTCTCGAGTTGAGAAAATTTGAGAAATTTTGTTTTATGTTCTAAATTAACAGAATAAATGGTTAACATTTAGATTGTTGCATTAAGTAAACTCTAAACTACTCTAGGTCATTTTTAATAACAGCTCATCAAAGAAATAAAAAAACAGCCTCACGTCCGTCTGCGCCACCTTGTGGTCCAAACTTAGTATGACACATTAGAGGTCACATGGAGGTCCCAGCTGTGCCAAACCCCAGCCCTTAACAGCTGGTCCAGATTGATTCAGAGGAAGGGGCAGCACATGTTCACCTGTGAAAATGTGACATCAGCAGACAGTATGATTAAAACTTTAAACATATGGGAAATCCAAACTCTACAGCGGTACAATAACATTCTTTAAAGCAACAGGACTAACATATATCATACATTCCCTTCTTTAAATGTCACCCACGTCTACTTTGTAGACGTTGGCCTGGTATTCCTGTCCCAGGGGGATACATGCACTACCTGTTCAGGCCTGTTGGACTGCAGGGCCTTAGTACGTGGAATGTTATTTCTGGGATTAACACAGTGTACAGTGATGTCCCACAGGAACACATTAGGACACAGGCCTGTGAGACGTTAACAGCTTTCAAAGACAGTTACTAAATAAAAGTGTGCAAATTTATTTGTTGAAGCCTTTTCAGACCCATATGGTACACATCACTACAAGGGTTTGTGGCCCACATGTTGGTGTAGGTGTTAAAAGGACACAGACACACTCAGATTTTACTAAGTATTTTTAAGCAAAATCATTGATGCATCTGAAATTAAATATGGAAACAAAAGCACTTGATTCTGCAATAAAATGTGACCGTGATTGTTTTAAAGCTTATTTTTAACCATGCAGAGATAAAAACGGAAGATATAAGAATGTGAATTGTTCTTTTTTGCTCATGAACTTGACCTGTTCTAATGGATTTCTCCTTCTCTTCTCCCCTCCATCACCATGACCTTCTCCTCCATCACATCACTACAGATCAGGTTAGTATCTTAGCCAAACATGACCTTACCTTGTCTCGTTGCCTTTTCCTTTGCTGAGAAATGTGCCACAGAAGGAGAGACCTGAGCATTCTCAACCACGGCAGAGCCTTTCCTATCTGTCCCCCTGCACTGAAAGATATTTCCTTCAGTTTTCTCCTCTGCCTGTCCACGAGTAGGTGAGGGTCCGATTGGCTAAAGTCAGTCTGTGTCAGTGAAAGCTAAAACCGTGGTGCTGAGGCACCCACAGGGCCTGGCACAAAGGATCCTTTCTGTGGACGGCAGAGAGGGGGCAAAAAGAGATTTGGTCCCAACAGCTGGCCTGGGATCAGTTTGTAGATTTCCTCTGCTTCTTCATTTGCATTGGACTTAGGAAGTGAAAACTGATCTCCATCAAGTAGCAGAACCTCAAATATGTAATGATCAGTTTGCTGCTAGTTGAGATTGGCGCATCAGATTGAAAGCAGCAGCATTTAAAACATTGTGATTGTTTGTTAACGTTCAGAACCTTCCCTGTTAATCTGGACTAACAGCTCTTTCCTATAAGAGATTGGTTCAGGATGCTTTACGCTGCTGTTCCTTGAACTTCATCTGATCATTGACATCACATGCACACTGCCCTGCTTTATGACGTATTCCTGTTCCTGCAGAATCATAAATACAGACTGCATGCTCAGCTTGTGCAGACAACAACCTTAATGCTAATTTCTTCAATGAAATCTTTTTGACCTGACAAACCCTGAAAAGACTGTATAAATAAATGTTATATTTATTTATCTTCTTTTCTGTTTAGGGGAGAGTCAAGGTGAGCACAAAACTTTATGTCCTTTGTGCCTTTGAGCAGCTACTGTGTAGCATAACTGAGACATTATTGGTCATTTTAAGGTTAACACAGATTACCTCCATATTGATCATATTGATCATTTGTGAATTGAAGTGATAGTTTCGTCAGTGTAAATAACTCTGCTGTGCTGGGAGAGTTAAATCTGTGAGCTGTGAGCCGTCTGCTTTGCGTTTGAGTCTAACTGAGTCATTTCTCTGCTGCAGGGTCCCAGAGGAGACAAAGGGCCTCGAGGTGACAGGGTGAGATGAACTAACTCTCTGCTGTTTTCACATCATCACACACAGACATCCACATGTTCTGCTTTATCGTTTGTGTTTATTCAAGTACACTCCAGTTGAGACATGTTGTTTTGTTGATGTCATTTGACCTGCACCCCTGTAGGCCACTCCCCATTGTTTACATTCTGCTGTAGCATATGCACTAGTGATGATGAATTATCAAGACATTATTTTATGTTTATTCACATGCAAACATGACTGAGTGATTGGATTTCTGCATGTTTTCTGACTGAGCTGCCTGTGTTTTATAGGGTCCTAAGGGCCCAGATGGCAAAGATGGCAAACCCGGACTCCCTGGCCCCCCTGGCCCACCTGGTCCCCCTGGACTTGGAGGAGTAAGTGCACTGCTTGTAAAGCAACCGACCGCGACTCACAGAGACAGCCGGTATAATGACTTTTGCATGTGTGAGCTCGTTCACTTTTGTTACCTTTTAAGGAGCATTTCCAGCTTTACTCATTCCTAGCACCAATGATTTTAACTGGACCTAAAGACTAAGCATTTTTTCTCAGGCTCTGGTTTAAGTTAGGATAAAGATGTCAGGATTAAGGTTGTTAGTTATGAACTGTGTTGGTTTGTTTGGCTTAGGGTGAACGTTAGTAATTTGAAAACAGATCAAAGTTGTGCCAGGTGTGTAAAAACTCTGGCTCCAGTCTAATTATTGGTCCATATGATTATTATATCATCATATCATATTAGCTTTGTTGCTAATGCTGCTATTGCTACTATGTAATTGAATGTGTGTTTTGGTGGATGGAATTCATTGCAAATGAACAAATTTTCGTATTTTTTTAATATTAGTATCGTGGATGAAGATTTTTTAATTTAAATGGTTTTATTTGTTTGAATTAAATACATTTTTTGTTTGTCTCCATAGAACTTTGCTGCTCAGTATGATGGGGCAAAAGGCCCTGACGCCGGTCCTGGACCTATGGTAAGGATTCTGCCTTCTTCACAACCCTCCATCCTGATGCTGACTCTCCATACACGTTTATGAAGATGTCTTGTTCATACTTGCTCGTTGTTAATCCGTGACTTCTTCCTTCTTCTATAGGGTTTGATGGGATCTAGAGGCCCTTCTGGACCTCCTGGACCCCCTGTGAGTACAAATCGTAATCACCTGACTGCCTTATTGTCCAATTATTGATCATGACACCCTGGACTTGTATGTGCTGTCTGTGAGATAAACGTCCTCTTGTCCAACAGGGACCTCAAGGACACACAGGACATGCTGGTGAGCCCGGAGAGCCTGGTCAGACTGTAAGTAAATATTCAAAAAAATTTTTTTGGTCAGGTGTAAATAAGAGCTCTTTGATCTGTGAGATCCTTAATTCTTTTCTTCTCTGCCAAGGGCCCCGTTGGAGCTCGCGGCCCCCCTGGACCTCCTGGCAAAGCTGGCGAGGACGTATGTACACTCCCCCAGTTTCTACAAACACTTTTTTGATTTTTTTTTTTTTTTTTTTGTGGCTGTTTATTAAAATGACCCGTTGATTCTCAGGGTAACAATGGCAGACCTGGCAAGCCTGGAGACAGAGGTGCCCCTGGACCTCAGGTGAGACATTTTGACCGTAGCATTGGACTAAAACATGAAACATTGAACACAAACAGACAATAGCAATGATCATTTGAAATGTGTCCTAACAATTCTTTTCACTCTGCCTAAAATTATAGGGTGCTCGTGGATTCCCCGGAACCCCTGGACTTCCAGGAATGAAGGGACACAGAGTGAGTGTTGACTTCAGTGTCTGAACTTGACTTCACTTTTTCATATTTCACTCAGACCACTTGAAAAAGTTGGCTGGGAGAAGAAACAAATGTGCAGATATTTTTACTGCATCAAAACTTAAACTCCTGGAATTAATTGCGACATAACATGACTGATGACTCATTTCTTCCCACAACTGTGATGTCACATGACATCACATGATGGTGTCTGGCTGGTAAAGAGTTGTCAGACATGAATTTAAATAATTGTATTTAAATAATATTAAATGTATTTAAATAATACCAGCTCAGGGTTTTATAAGCTCCTCGTCAGAGGCAATGAAATATAGTTTTTGAATTGAAATATCACTTTTTCCCTGCCCTTTAGGGTTACACCGGTCTTGACGGACGCAAGGGAGAGCCTGGTGCCGCTGGACTTAAGGTGAGACGATGCACAATCTGAGTTCTTTTTTCTCCGAGTTTAGTTTTCATTAGTTCTGCATTGATGTTGATCTCAGAGTAGATTGTGACACTGTCAGGGAGATGTCCATTCTTGTTCTATAGCTGTGGCTTTTAGCTCAGTCACTACAGGTGACTCTGTATGACTTAAACATAACAATCGTCAGCATCAAAATCCACCTTCTCCTTCTCCTACAGGGTGAGGATGGTGCCCGTGGATCTAACGGAAGCCCCGGACTGGCTGTAAGTTCATTTATTACAGAAGATCCATCATTAATAATAAAAATGAATATGCTAGTACTGCAGTAAAAACACGGGTCTCACCACCGCTGTTTGGTCTGTGGATTCTCCATGTAGGGATCTCGCGGCCTAGCTGGAGAGAGAGGTCGTCCCGGCCCTGCTGGCCCAGCTGGTGCTCGTGGTGCTGATGGCAATGTTGGACCCGCTGGACCCGCCGTAAGTGATATGAAATGATATCATACGCAAAAAGTGTCACGTACTTTGTACATGAAAAAGTGTATATTCTAATGGTGCGTCTGCTGCTCCTCTGCTCAGGGACCCGTCGGTGCTGCTGGTCCCCCAGGTTTCCCCGGTGGCCCCGGCCCCAAGGTGAGTGTGATGTCACTTCCTGACCTTTGACAACACTTTCATAATAGATCAGAATATGGTAGAGCTCTGTTATAGATTTGCAGCAGTACTGTATGTAGAGCCTTCATGAAAACCTTTGATATCATCCCCGTGGGAATCATGGAAAGAAGAGTACAGTGCACAGTACATGACGTGTCCGTGTGTGTCATCTCTAACAGGGAGAGATTGGACCTGCTGGATCTACTGGCCCAAGTGGACCCCAAGGATCCAGAGGAGAGCCTGGTCCCAATGGTGCTGTTGGCCCCGTTGGACCTGCTGTGAGTAGATGTTTGATTTTACTGCAAAGTACTGACCAAAGGATAGGAACTGGGAAATACACTGTGTTTTTGTTATTTGATTACTAGATATTAACCTCACTGATAGTAATTGTATTTTAATCAGTTGTAATTTTATTTGTTGGTAAAATCGATTTTATTTTTGACGTGTCATCGTCTCTTCTTCAGGGTAACCCTGGTAACAATGGCCTGAACGGAGCCAAGGGAGCTGCTGTAAGTGTTCACTTCCACCTACACTAGAGTACTTCATACATTATATTCACAAATATTGGATTGGATTGGATTTAAGTCTGAATCTATGAGTGGGTGCTTATCTGTCCGTGGTTGTCTTCAGGGTACTCCTGGTGTTGCTGGAGCTCCTGGATTCCCCGGACCAAGAGGAGGCGTTGGACCCCAGGGCCCTCAGGGTGCAGCTGGACCTAGAGGCCTGGCTGTAAGTCCACATGCAGAAACATGTTATATAACATGCACATCCAATAACTTTACACCCACATGTTTGCTTCTGTCTGTTTTAGGGAGATCCTGGTGCTCAGGGTATCAAGGGAGATGGTGGTCCCAAAGGAGAGCCTGTAAGTTCATGTCCTGTTCCAACTTTTAAGAATGATTCTGAAGATGTCTGACCACTAAACCTCTTTGCTGTTTTCTTCAGGGTAACGCTGGACCTCAGGGACCCCCTGGACCTTCTGGTGAGGAGGGCAAGAGAGGACCTACTGGTGAGATTGGTGCCAGTGGCCCTGCTGGTGCCCGTGGAGCTAGAGTGAGTACCACTGCTGCTTCAGTTCATATCCATATTCTACGTTCACCTACTCATACTGTTGGTCATCTCCCATAGGGCGCTGCTGGAGGCCGTGGTATGCCTGGTCCTGATGGAAGAAGTGGACCCCTGGTAATTTTTTTTTTTTTAGCTGACCATATAATTTGGATTCTTACCTCCTAAATGAAGTGACATCAATCTCAAACATCCTCCTACATTTTTGTGTCCTTCCTCTAGGGTATGCCTGGTGCTCGCGGTGCCACTGGATCTGCTGGACCTCGTGGACCCCCTGGAGATGCTGGTCGTGCTGGTGAGCCTGGCCCAGCTGGTCTCAGGGTGAGTGTTTGACTAATTCTAAATAGTAAAACACTGGTATTTAATATCTGTCCAGATTTATTTCTCTGTCCTCACACCTCAAAAAGAGCGACAATAATATCTCACATACCCCTTTAGATGGGAGAGACCCCTTAAGGCGTTGCATTAGCATGAAATATAGTGAGTCTAACATTTCAACTGACAAATGTGTGTCTTTGACAGGGTCTCCCAGGAAGCCCCGGAAGCTCTGGACCCCCAGGAAAGGAGGGACCCGCTGTAAGTAAAACCATTCTTTTAGTTCATTAACAAGTCCACACACACCCTAAAAATATATGTATACAGTAGTACTTACAGTAAGCAACCCCTCCTGATGTCCACCCTGTCTCCTCCGTCAGGGTGCTGCCGGTCAAGATGGCCGTGTCGGACCCCCTGGCCCAACTGGACCCAGAGGTCAGCCAGGAAACATTGGATTCCCCGGACCCAAGGGAACAGCTGTGAGTAGAAGTAAAACGCAGACTGATGGAAGATCAACAACAACAACTATGTCGAATTCTTCGTGCAGAACTTGAACATGACCTTCCTCTTACCTCCTGTAGGGTGAGCCTGGCAAGCCTGGCGAGAAAGGAGCTACTGGACCCACTGGTCTGAGAGTAAGTCAAATACAAAAATATATATACTTTACATATTTTCATAAATGGAAAAGCCAACATTGAAGTAATAAATATCTGTTTCTACTCAGGGAGCCCCAGGATCTGACGGAAACAATGGAGCCACTGGAGCCATGGGACTAAGTGTAAGTCTGAATATAAACACTGTTATTGTTCAAATATATATATGGAACTTTATTACCCTGTGGTTGTCGATGTGCCGCCTTCAACGCTGGCGCTCTCTCTTCGTCCCCTTTACAGGGTGGTGCTGGTGAGAAGGGAGAACAGGGACCCGCTGGAGCTCCTGGCTTCCAGGTTTGCATTTTTTTTTCTCACTTGCCAAAAATCACACGTTTACAGAATATTTCATATATGTTTATATTAGCCGATTGAAGTTTAGAGCAGGTGCTCCATGGTAAATGCCCCTCCCTCTCTTCTCTGGCTCTGGTCACTCTCTTGGTGCTGATGCTGACTTCTTTCAGGGTCTGCCTGGCCCCGCTGGACCTGGTGGTGAGGCTGGCAAGCCTGGAGACAGAGTGAGTAGTACACAGATACAGCGATTTCACCTGTTGCTAACTGTTAGTTATACCAAATATACCAAAACACTGTACGTCTCTAAATGAGCACTGGTGTCTCTGCAGGGAATCCCAGGAGACCAGGGAGCTGCTGGACCTGCTGGTGCAAAGGTGAGGTCACCTGTTCGTTTCTGATTAACTGATTCTAGTGACTAGTTTGCACTAGTGTTAGTGAATATTGAATACTAGTGTTCAAACAAGATTGAAGTTTATATTAATATCTACATATTAATATCTATGGTAGAGGATCTCCAGTGCGTGAGCTCAACTGCTACTTACATTTGTTCCAGGGAGACCGCGGTAACCCCGGTGCTGCTGGTGCTACTGGAAGTCAGGGACCAATGGGAGTCCGTGGACCTTCTGGACCCCCAGGACCTGATGGTGGCAAGGTAAAGGACCAGTCTCTGTTGTGGAAACCAAAATCTAAACAAAGTTAGCCGACATCATCACAATATGTTTGAAACACATTTTCTTTTGCCTGCTTCCAGGGAGAGAATGGTCCTGTTGGTGCTGCTGGTGCCCCCGGACACCAGGGACCTGGTGGTATGCCTGGTGAGCGTGGTGCCGCTGGTACTCCTGGAGGCAAGGGAGAGAAGGTGAGCTCCTTCTCCGGGCAAATTCAGCAGCATAGTGTGTGAAAAATGTTTCTTTATGAGGTTTTCGCTACACTTTTCTTCCTTCTTCTTCTCTACAGGGAGAGCTTGGACACAAAGGCCCTGATGGCAACCCTGGCAGAGATGGAGCCCGTGTAAGTCAAACCCTCAAATCCTCTAAAACTTCAGTTATAAAAATGTAACCATAGATATTCGATGGTTGCACTTTAGCCCCCTGACTGATCTTGTGCTCTCTCTTTACCAGGGTCTGCCTGGACCTGCTGGTCCTCCTGGACCCACTGGAGCCAATGGTGACAAGGTGAGTAGATGTGTGAAAATGGTGTCTTTATCAACAAAAGCCTGAGAAGACAACACTAGCGTATTGGTCTTCAGGATTCTGGCAGTATATATATTTAAATGTATTACCACACGTCATATGGTCTGCCTAAATATGCCACTATCGTCTTCTAACTCTATTCAAGATGGCCGCCCGCTTTAACACTTTACCACTAACCTAGAAAATAAAATAAAATTCTGAGTCACTGAAATAAAATACCAACTGTGATATTTAATAACATAAAGTTGAAAAACACCTTTTAATTTATATCTTTTTCATTTAATTATTTTCTTTTGATGTCTGACTAACAAGAACATCAACACTGCCGCCTGATGGTGACACTGAGTATTACACCTGTGGCTGATTTTATTAAGCAGATATGATTGAAAATTCTTACATTCCTGAATGTTTTCTAACATTTTGTAAAATTTTTAAATCTGAGCAAATGACTCATCAAATGAAATATTAAGTTTCTCTTAATTTGTAACTAAAATAAAAAATATATAAATATGCAATAACTTTACATGTATAAAAAAGGTTTTTTTATGTGTATCCATTTTCTTCCTGGACTTGGAGATGTACTTGTGAACACAAAGCTTGAATGTTCTTCTCTTCCTGTAGGGTGAGGCTGGTTCCTTCGGACCTGCTGGTCCCGCTGGAGCTCGTGGAGCCCCTGTAAGAAGCCCGATGATAAAATATATACACCACAGATGATACCATGCAAACAAAGACTTGAGACAATGCAAGTGTTTCTGTTGTCTTTTCCTTACAGGGTGAGCGCGGAGAGGTTGGACCCGCTGGATCTTCTGGATTCGCTGGACCTCCTGTACGCCTCTAGCCACTCACATTATAGTAGCAATGGCCTTTGCATGTCCTATTCAATACACACAAATGCAGCTGCCCAGATATTTATCTTGCAACGTTGCTCCCTCTCCACACAGGGTGCTGATGGTCAGGCTGGAGCAAGAGGAGAGCGTGGACCTGCTGGTGGCAAGGGAGAAGCTGGCCCCTCTGGCCCTGCTGGACCTGCTGGACAGTCTGGACCTGCTGTAAGTATCAATATGATTTTAATGACAAACTTGTATGAGACAAAGCTCTTATTACCTTTGACTGTCAGCTACAAGAGGATTTCAACATAGATAGTAATTCAATTTCTCATATTTCTCTTTTGTTTCTAGGGTCCTTCTGGCCCTGCTGGACCTACTGGTGCCCGTGGAGACACTGGCCCCGCTGTAAGTACTGAACCTCCTATTGAGTATTATTCACCTGTATATATTGTCAGTGGTTAGACTTTTTATTTGTGTGTTTCTGATATCAGGGTCTGACTGGTTTCCCTGGTGCTGCTGGCAGAGTTGGCCCTGCTGGTCCCGCTGTAAGTGCTATCTTTTATATAAAAATATACCTGCATACGCAGAGAAACAAAGTAGACACCAAAGTGATATGTGTCTTCTTCACTTGTTATCGAGCCATCATGTGACGTGTCCTGCTTTTTCTCCCCAGGGTATTGTTGGACCTCCAGGTGCTTCTGGTCCCGCTGGTAAGGATGGTCCTCGTGGTGCCCGTGGTGACTCTGGTCCCGCTGGTCCTCCTGGAGAGCAGGGTATGGTTGGACCTCCTGGTGCTTCTGGAGATAAGGGTCCATCTGGAGAGAGCGGTCCCGCTGTGAGTCATTGTTCATTTCCCACAGAATTTTTAAAAATCTCTGGAGACTTTGTTGTAAAAAAACCCAACGAGACCTGATGATGTCCATCCTGAATGCTTTTATCCATGTTCTGTCCTTAGGGTCCTCCTGGTGCTCCTGGTGCCAGTGGTCCTCTTGGTCTTCAAGGATTCGTTGGTCTGCCTGGTACTAGGGGAGATCGTGGTCTGCCTGGTGGTGCTGGTGCTGTGGTAAGACCACCATAGAGTCATGTTCCACTTGATATTCTTTAAACTAATGCTGTTCCAATAGCAGCAGGAGTAAACCTGTGGTTAAAAGACAAACAAGTCGTCTCCTCAGATTTGAATTAAAAATGCTCTGAGGAAGATCAGAATAAAAAAAAAAATTTTTTCTTATGCATTTCAACCTAATGGTCATTAAAGGCAACATGCTTAAATTGTATTATATATATAATGCATTATTGAATTATATCCATTGAACAACATTTACTACCATAATACATGTTTAGAATACTTAATTCCACCTGATTGCCTCACCTCTTTGGTCAATATCAATCAAAAAGAGTCTCCAGTCGTTTCTTTCTTCTGTGTCCTACCGTAGGGAGAGCCTGGAAGACTTGGACCTGCTGGTGCTCCTGGAGCCCGTGGTCCTCCTGGAAACATTGGTCTGCCTGGTATGACCGGACCTCAGGGAGAGGCTGGACGTGAGGTGAGGATTAACTTTCAGTGACATCATGCACAAAACAACAAAGTTGAAGCAACTTCAGGTTGCTAATAAAGAGGCTGAAACCATGATCTTTGCTGTCCACAGGGAAGCCCTGGTAATGATGGACCTCCTGGCCGTCCTGGTATTCCTGGATTCAAGGTAATGCACTTCTCACAGTTTTAAAACTACTCAACCGACACAAACACATGTCAAGTGTGGTTTAATGTGAACATGTGGTTTC